GGCATTCCCAGCTTACCTCTCCTCAAGTCCTTCGAAGCTGTTCCCGATGATGACCGTCCTGGAAAGGGCACGCACCGACCAGTTACTCCACAGGAGATTGTTGTACAAGGCGGTCCCACAGTGGGGCATGTAGAAGATGGTGGGCTGGCCGCAGATACTCCGCTTTCCTTCCTGGGGCGCCGAGGACAATACACGTGAACACGCTCAGAGCAGGCTCGTACGGCAGGTCGGGGACAGTGATGAGATCACACAAGCTGAACAATCAGCAAGAAAACGCTACTCCCCTGTGGGGTCGCTGGGTGAGTAGTGTGTAAACCACCTGTTTGGTCATAAGGAACCCGAACAAGGAAAGCGTGTCCAGGAAGAAGGAACTCACGTCTGCTTAACAAATGTGTGTCCCATGAACACAAAGCTCTGGACTAAACTACCTCTTAGGTCCATGACGGCAAGGGTGGGAGGGATGGCACTGGTGACTGTCCCCCTGTCTTGTGTTCGGAAATCTTCCATGTTTCATGTGCCATTTTTTCAGGTCCCTATTATAACAGAGTCCTCTTGGGAACCAGCAGTTAGTGTAATGGCTATGTCACTGGACTCGCCTGTAGTCAACCGCGGTTCGCATCCCGGACCTGGTGGCTTAAAACTCATGCCGGGTGCGTGTGTGTGTGTGCCCAAGATCCCGAGGTGCCCAAGATCCCGAGAGGAGAATGAAGGATAAGGGATGGTGGCGTGGCCATCCCCCCTGGGGGGTGACTTCTCGCTTTCTGTCTGTCTGTCTGTCTCTGTCTGGTGAGCGCACGTGCCCTATAGCAAAAAAACCTCTCCAAAAAAAAAGAAATGGAGAAGGGATTATGGCATGACCATACCCCATTAGGGGGTGTTTTCTCCCTCTCTGTCTCCCTGGAGAGCACACACAAGCCCTCTAGCAATTAAGGAAAGAAAGGAAGAAAAGAAAAAAATACATTCATTTAGAAAATTTCTTGTACTGAAATAAACTTGTATTTTAATTCCATTTTCCACAAATTATTTGAAGTCCTGTCATTACAACACTGGGAAAGCAAGCAGTGGACAGGAGTGACTGCCATTTCAAAGAAAACGTGTCCACCAGCAGAGCCTGGGTCAGCCCGGTCAGGGTTTATACAGCGCCTCCCTCCCCCCCCCGCTCCCTTTCCTGAACCACTTACCTCGTTCTCACAGAGAACCGTCACACCAAGGGTGTTAAGAACTGCAATCTCAGCTTGGCTGAACAGAGGGTCATATACCCAGCAGTGACTCCTGGGAATCTGGGAGGGAAGAAGGACTTGTTTATTTCCACCCAAATATCTTTGTATACACCGTGTGCAAGACCAGAGGAGGGAGGGAGGAAGACGAATCTAAAAGCTTACCTGGCACTTTTCCAGAAGGAGAAGCAGAAACGTTAGCTGGTTTCTCGCTATGACACAGGTGGCAAAATTCCCAATGCCATAACACACACACTTCAGATGGCAGGTTCCTGTGACCAGGGTCTCTCCTGGGACAGAGTCAGGGGCCTCATTTGACTCATCTGGTGATGGGGCAAGATGCAAGCTTCCAAAGGCTTCCGAAAGAGTCTCCACTGGGGCCTTCAGTTGTTCCAGAAGTTTCTGAAGACACCTGTTGATGGTTTCTGCAAGAGCAGGCCCCCAAATGCAGTCAGAGGGTATGCTCTGAGCCATGGACCATATCATCCATGGCTGTGGGAATAAGCCCACAGCCCCAGGAGAAAGGAACAGGTGGTATAGGCTTCAACTATTCAGAGAGAGAAGCTGCCGGCCTCCCTCCCAAACATGCACCCACGTGCACTGCAAATGGACAGGTGGTCCCAGCTCCTGGGCTCCCACAGCCCAAATCCCATGTGTCCCTACAGGGTACCAAATTTCACCTATCAAATTAGCAAAGACATCTTTATTTTTGTTTGTTTATTCTTTTGCCATTAATAGAGAAGCTATTTTTTTGGGGGGGATACAATGTGACTTTTAGTACATGAATATAATGTGTGGTGATTAAATCGGTGTTTAATAGGCCCCTCATCTCAACCATTTGTCATTATTTTGGGTTGAGAACATCCCAAATCCTCTTTTTTAGGTACTCTGAAGTAAGTAGTAAGTAGGAGTTAACTGTGTTCCACTGTATTTATAACACTAGACATTGTTCCTTTTTCTCACTGTAATTTAGTTTCTAGTAATCTACATCCTTTGGTGTCCTCCTGCAAATATAGCTTTAAATAAGACCCGAGGCTAGGAAACGCTGCATGAAACATTGGCTCTTCGAGGTCCTTGCTGGTAGAAAAATAAACAAACATAGTGAAAACGTTTTGGAAAACAACTTGACCATGGATATCAAGGTGCTCACCCCCTTTCATTTCACAATTCCACTCCCAGGAACATGTCTTAAGATTGTCCTAAAATGTGTATAAAGAAACTGAGGGTCAGAGTTAGTGACCTGCAGAAAGCCGCGCAGCTGCAGGGAAGTCAGAACTGGAACGCAGCGTGTACACTGCTCTGGGAAGCCAAATGTCCTTCAGTGAGGACCGGATCCCCTTCTTGTCCCCGTTCAGGCCCTCCTTCCACTCCTCCCACCCCTACCCTAGGCCAGGTAGTACCCACCTAATGCAGAGCTCCAGAAATCAGAGATAAGCAGGTCCGCTCTGTTGAGAAAAAATGGTATAATCATCTCCCATCCACTTCAGGGTGCCCTAATGGTGACTCTTCTCATCGTGAGCTGGATGTATGGAGGATGGAGGGCCTTCTAAGCAGAGCTCACCCCTACCAAGTGATAGGAGAGGGACACGTGGAAAATGACCAGAGCCAAAGTGTACACTCCTGGGACCCAGAGGGCATGGCAGAGGGCTTCCTGGAAGAGGCCCCCTATTCCCAAGGATGAGTCTGTCCATCTATATTATTTGTCCAAGACAGAGCCTGATACAGAGTTGCAGCTTAATAAATGGTGGTTCCTCAGATTTAGCCTTTCTGAACTTTAGTTTCCTCATCTCTAAAATGAGGGTAAGAATCATACTTACCACGGGCAACTACAGAAGGATTAAGTGGGTAAACACTCAACACAGTGCCTGGCACTCAGCAGACACCTGATAAACAGCCCTTGCTACTCTAAGTCTTAAGTTAAAGTGAAAACGAGGCACAACGAAGTGTCTGGGCTTTCTTTATTGAAGTCAACTGGTTCCCACAAACCCAGAGCAAAACAAAGTCAATGATGAATAAAAGCGGATTGCCAGAGACAGTGCTTAGGGGTCTGAGAAGAGAGAGAATTGAAAAAAACCTTCCCAGTGGTTGTCCCTGTTCCTTACAGAGGGTAAAGGTGAGTCCTAATGAAGTAGAATACTATGTAAACTGGTAAATTCATGGGCAGATCAGCATAAAAGTGCTAGACGCTCCTTTACTCAGGTGTGCTGGGAGAAGCCCCTGGGGATACTGAAGAAGCTGAAGAAACAGTAACAATGTCAGAGAAAAAGCCATCAGGCATGCTCACCCTCAAAATCTTGCAAAGAGTAACAAAAGCTGCCAGCTGTTCAGCGGCTTCTATTTAGAGGGAAACTCTGGTTCACCACTGCCTCTTGACTGTAATTCCAAGGAATGCAAAAAGAGTCTATCCTGATGGCCCTTGAGATGCTGATCTGAAAAGAGCATCTGAAACTTACTTGTTGAGCCCAACAGAACTGCAAAAATAAAGGTAGTAAGAAAACTTCAACAAATTCATGGGGGGAAAAAAAAACAGAACTAAAGTATGACTTGACTTTGGTGCCAAAAGGTGAAATCTATGCATAGTTTTTTTCATAATATGCTTTTTCTATGACATTTTTGAAGCCCTCTTGTCCTAAGTAATTTATTGTGTCCTCTGTGTTACGCACAGTGTGTATGCGCTTCTAACGTAAAGAGCAAGATGTAATAAGCTTCCAGAACACTAGAAAACTAGAAACACAGGTTTTGGAGTCAAAAGGCCTGGTTTTGAAATCTAGTTCCATACATCATGTATGTTTCCTTGAGATTTTGGAGCTACTAGGATCCTAGCGCGGCTAAGATACTGACCACTGATAAAATGTGTAGAATGTTTAAGTCAGTGCCAGGCACATAGCAGCTGCTGGATAAACTAGTGATCGCAATGACGACAATCACGCGTTTGTGGGGCTGCCCCGCTGTTAATACCAACATAACAAACATTGGCCTGACATTAACAGCAAACACTGACACAGCGCTTATCACATGCCAGGAAATAATTGACATTTACTAATTCACTGAATTCTCAAAACAAGCCTATGTAGGTGTTATTTTCATCCCCATCTCACAGATGAGAAAACCGAGGCACGCAGTGTTACTCCCCCCAAGTTCACACGAATGCTGATTTCAACTAGAGGAATGACGACCTTTACTGAGCGCTATGATCCAGACCTGTTATGAGACCGCTACCTCTGTTAAATCTTCTCAATAATCCTTTAAACGGTTTGCAGCGTACCCCCACTTTACAGATGGGGAGACTGAGACTCAGAGGCGCCCATGGGTGTTCGGTTTGAGCCAGGGCGGAACCTGCACTCACTCAGCTTCCAGGAGACGACGAAGCACGACTTCACTGTCCGCCTCGAGCTCCGCCCCCGGACTGCAGGCCGCCACCTCCCTCCGCCGAGGCCGCCGCGCCGCGGAGCGCCTCTTCCGCGGAGTCACAGCCACCCAAGGCTCCCGCG